TAAAACAAGAGGCTTCTGGGACTGCCGCCACACAAGTAACCCCACAGAGCAGACGGGACCGTGGCTGAAGATGCCAACGATGTGAGGAACAAGGCGCTCCGAGAGATCAATGCAATTTGAGTCCAGAGTGATTGGGGAAGAGAGTGCTTAAATCCAACAGGGGAGGTGGCAAACTTTTCCGGGTCAGCACCCCTGTTTGATCTACAAATCCTGCTCGGCCATCTCCACTCTTCGAACGTTGCTGGGGTCGTCAAACACACTTTCTGGCTTGCGGTTTTCAAACAGGCTGGTTTGCTTCAGGCCTTGAGAGCAAAGCACAGTTGGCACACAAGTCACCCGACGGTAAGGACGCGGGACCCCTTTGAGCCAAGATCAAACCGGAGACATTCTGGCCCAACATGGCCCACGCGTGCCAAAAGCACAGCCAGAAAGAGAGACCCACGGATCTCTCATGGAACACCTCCTCTCCAGGTCTTGAGGAACATTGTTAGCCTCCAGCTACAGTCCCCGTCCCACTCCTGAGCTAGCGAGGAGATCTTGGACAGTCAGTGGAGGTGCCGGGCTCGTGGGCCGCACAGTCTGAAGCCACCCAACCGGTTCCTGCCCTTCCAAAGGGAGCCGGCCCCTCGGAAGTATTAAGGCTAGAAAGGAACCGTAGATCTAGTCGGATCTCTTGTACGGCGAGACACAAGACTCCTGAGCTGAGCTCAATACAGTGCAGTTGAACAAACATCCCTCTTACAGATACGCCCAGTCTCAACTGAAGACCTGCGTGTGACGGAGACTCACATAACAGATCCCTGCCCCTCTGTCCCAATGGCCAGCAGCCGACTTCTGATTTTCATCCATCATGGACCAACTCGGAGCCAGTGATCTCAACCTGCCTCGTGGCTAGATCCGAGAGCTGTCCGAAGTCACATCTCTTCTCCCCAGGCTGCGGGTAAAGTCACTTCTTAACCTTCGCTTCCATAAAGCTACTTCAGTTGCTCACCACACGAGCCTTGAATGGCCCCCATGGTTCTTCTCTGAACCCTCTCCTAGTTTTCCCAGCGTCGTTCTAGATCCACAGGGGCACCAGACCTAGACGCAACCTCCCAGTGACGCAGCCCCATCTCTGCAAGGGAGGAGGATCTGTTTTTCTAACGCACCCGGCATAGCTGCATCCTCACGTTAGCCGCTGGGACTGCCTGGCACATGTAAAATATTCCACCCGCTTGTCTCAGCCTTGCCACTAACAGCTCCAACGACGGCCATCGATCAGTCATACGTTAGCCCTCAGCATGCGCTAGTCAATTTCTCGCATCCTGCCCGACAGCAACCGCAGCGCACAGCGCCCCGCACAAGCGCCTTCCCGTTGCCAGGTGCTGTATGGACGCCGCTCACGGCCTCACAGCCTAACAAAGGCCGGGGAGAGGAAACATGCCCAGAGACGTGAAGCCAGCAAGGCAGTGATAGAACCCAGGAGTCCTGCCTCCCACCTCAGCGCCCCTTGTCCCTCACTACGCAGCCGCCGTTCTAGAGTGAAATGAAAGCACTCGGCGTAGAGGGAACTGGGTGTGTATATAACATCCCCCCTCTCCCCCCCCAGTCAACACCCCATGGCTTGGAGCATCCGTGGGAAACCAACAGACGAAGACAGCTACTGCGCTAACCTGATCTATAGTCCAGAGAGGTTCCTTGATGGGACACCACCTCCCTTCTCCGCGAATGTCTAATAGTTTCCCCTGCCTACAATTAACACCTACAATCAATGGGAGAACAGGCTCTTTGGTTTGCTGAACGAGGGGCCAGATTGGAGGGGGTGATGGGGGGGGGGGGGCAGACAACCTGCAAAGGCACAGGGACAGGTGCGTGATCAGCCAAGTGTTTTAAGTGGCAGGATTTCAGTTGGACAGTGGCCCCTGAAGTTTGTAACTTGCCATTCCAAGGCCAGAAGGGATCATCCAAGCCTGACCTCCTGGCTAACACAGGCCAGAAACTTTCACCAGTTCCCCCCAGGGGTGGAGCCCAACAACTTGTGTTCAGCAAAAGCACACCCCGAAAGGCAGCCAGTCTGGATGGGAGCCTCCATCTCCGTCCCGGGAAGCGTGTCCCAAGAGTTCATCCTCCTCTTTTGGAAACTGGCGCCCCATTTGCAGTTTGCGTTTGGCTGGCTTCCGCTTCCAAGCGGTGGTGGTTCCACCTTTCCCCACTGAAGCCTGGGATGAAGGTACTTAGACACTGCTCAGGGAGTCCGACTGGTCGTTAAGCAGAGTCGATCAGGATCATGTCAGGCTCCTTTCAATATCTGCTCACCCAAGACCTACCCAGGAAGAACCAGCTACCGCTGCCAAGTACAACGCAGTGGTTAGAGTGCCAGGACTCCTGGGTTCTGTGCCCTGCTCTATTCCGGTCACTGACAAGGTGGGACCACCAAGCCTCAGTTTCCCCACTGACTGAACAGGCAGACGTTTGAGACACAGGAAGCGCGGAGATACTCTGACCCGTGGTCTTTCTACCCCAGAGCAGTTTATTCAGCACAGGTTCGAGACGTGGTGACGGCAGTACACAGAAGGCCGCAGGCATCAGCAGTGAGGCCAGCTCTTCCGAAGCACACCCTTAAGAAACTGCAGAGGTTGGAAGGCACATTTACACATTTTTGCCCAGGGGTCTTGTCCTCCACACCAGAAGCAGAGCGCTTGGTTAGAGAGGAGAAATCTGCCAATCCCTTGAACGAGGGGCGGGGGGAGAATACACCCATCCACTCACTCCAACCCGCCGGCTCATCTGGAAAATCGCTCCAGCGAACTGACCAACAAGTAGAGCAAGTTTAGTAACTCGGCCATCACGACACGCATCAGTTAAGAGTCTCTGAAGAATCCAGGGCAGAATTGGTTCCACCAGTGATGTCCTATTTATCTGGCCATGCAACCACCACTTAGCTATTGCTGAGGAAATGTGTCAGACACCAGGCCACAAAGCCAGTCTCGTACGTCTCTCCGCGCACACACACACACACCCCCAACGGCTACCTGCAGGCTCTGATCCTGGCTCCAATCAGTTTCATGGTTCTCTAAGATGCAGGCATTTAAGAGACTGAAAAAAATGGCATCTTGGACGCGATTACCCGGAGTCTCCCATCAGCTGACAGTGGACAATGCCTGGCGGGCTCCAGTCCTGGCACAGCTCCGCTGAGTGAGCCTGCCTCCGGGACCGGCTCGCCGTTACTCACAGGCGTGCCAAAGCAGGGGGAGTTGAAGTGGAAAAGGTTTAATTCACAAGGCTAAATATGGGATCCCATAGTGACGCTGCATTTTAATAGGTTCGCCAAGCTGTCTGAATCAGCCTTTCTTCAAAGAAAAACGATAGCTCCCCCCCCAGGGCTAACCCCGAGCCTCACAGACAAGCCAAGAGATTGCAGAACGCTGCTAAATAGGTATTACACCCATTCCAGAGCACAGGGCAAAGCAGAGCGGTGCACACACACTGGCCTTGGCTCAGGGACTGAAATGGGTCAGGCTGGTCTGAACGCCTACAGAAAGGACCACCACTTGAACCTAAACCATCCAACCTTGCAGCACACCCCCTCCACGTGCTGTTCTCTGGGGCCTGACTAGCAAAAGGCACCAGAAAGTTAGGTGACTTGACAGAGGTCACGGTCAGTGGCAGAACTGGAAACGGAACCCAGGAATTCTGGCTTCTCCCCCCCACCCCCCATGCTCTAATCACTAGACCCCACTGCCCTCACCAGAGCCAGGGAAAGAATCAAGGAATCCTCAAAAAGAACAGGAGTACCTGTGGCACCTTAGAGACACATAGCTGCTATTCTGAAACCTGTCAAGGAATCCTGAATCCCAGTCTCCCCTGCCCTAACCACTAGACACCATTCTGCTCCCAGAGTTGGAGAAAGAACTCAGGAGACCTGACACCCAGTACTTCACACCAGAGCACTCAAGCCGGAGGGGGGAGTCATCCCACAGGTGTTGGGGTATCAGACCACCCAGTCTCTCTCACAGGAGAGCTATCAAGGCCTGCGCTAACCATTAATTAGACACACTCCCTTCCCTACACAGTGATCAAACATCCATTCTTCAGGCAATGTAGCAGTCCCGAGAGGAATCCGTTAGCCCCTCCCCGCAATTACAGGCCCTGAGTGGGCCGACAGTCCCAGGGACGTTTCTAGGGCTGAAACCCAGGGACTGAGCTGCCCGGACATACAGCTCCGCTGCATCACATCGGGGGCGACCACACCTGGATCTAACTGGACTTTATCAGGCAACTTTCCATGCTGCTGCAGGCTGGAAGTTTGGGAAAAACCTAGGAACCCCGGAGTCCTGGCCCCCAGCCCTGCCACCTGCACTAACCCACTCCATCTCACCTGCGCCCAGAGCCAGAACGCATAAGACGCTGAAAACCCCCGAAGGTCTTGCTCTAACACCCACCACCTTCAGCACATAGTCCATGCGAGGATCTCCAAGCACATCACCAGGGGACTGGTCAGCACCAGTCTTATTTTCCAGAGAGGGGGGATGCCCTGGCCAGCACCCAGAGCTGAAGCCAGGGCTTTCAGAGCCAGAACCCCTCACCTATAGCCACCAGGCCCCCTCCCTGCAACAGAGACAGCACTGTCTGGAGGCCAGAGCTCCAGGCCTAGTTCTGCCTTGTCGTGAGCTCAGACGTGCCTCAGTTTCCCCTCCCACCAACTCCTTGGGACAGGGGCGTTCTCCCCACGCATCTGTGCGGGCCCCAGCACACAGGCAGCCTCCCTGATCTCGAGCAGGGCACCTGTCAGAATCCAGGTCAATCCAGAGAGAACATGCCTGCCGGCTGCGGTGTTGGCCAGTTCACCATGTGCCCTCTGCCGCTCGTGGGTCCTTACTCTCCCTCATCAGAGGAGCCTCAGCGGCGTGACCACCGTCTCCTCTCGCCACAGACAGGCAACCACACCTAGAGCTCGCCACGAGAGCAAAGCACCCTGCTAGGTCACCGACAAGCTGATGGAAGCAAGCGCGGACGCTCACCTGGAATCACAACCAGTCCATGCTCGGTCCGGTCTGCTATCCGAATCACTAATCCGGCACCCACGCTTCGCCCCAGCCGGCCAAGGGAAACACCTTCCGGTTTTCGCGGTTGCTCTAATCCACTTCGACCAGACTAACTGAGGGCCTAGGAGAAACCGGAGACACGGGTGAGACCTGGCACTGGGGGAGATCTACAGAGACCTCAGAACGGGCACGGGGCAGAGGCAGACCATGGAGACCTGGATATTTCATTATACGGGGTTAAGAACAGATGCGCCCCTAGCAAGCAAATTGGGCAATATATTGGGGGACAAATAGGAGCAACTAAAGGGCAGACAGGAAGGCAAGAGGGGTACCTATAATTCCATCCCATTCACCCTAGGGGATCCCTGCCTGGCTTATTTACCCTTCCCAACATACAACACCCAGGAGTTACCCGATAACATTCATAAGCAACAGCTTTAATATGAAACAAGGAGAAGTACCTCTTCACACACACACACACACACACACACAGAGTTAACCTGTGGAACCCACTGCCACCTCATTGAGGTGTTGTGAAGGCCAAAGGTAGATAACGGGGGCCCAAAAAGAACTAGACAGTCATCGATGGAGCTATCCTCCATGAAGTTATGAGCCAAGACGGTCAGGGATGCTTGGGGTGTCCCGACTCTGACGGCCAGAAAGTGGGAGGGGAAGATTGGGGGGGGGGGGGGGCTGTTCTGAACGCTCTGGGCCTGGCACCACAGGAGATGGGATACTGGGCTGGATGGACCATTGCTTTGCACCAGTCTGGCCCGGCTCATGTTCTCACCTGCTACAAAGGGTGATCCACGGTGAGCTAGTCTTACCCACCACCCTAGACAGATTTGCTTCCCACACCACTTCAGCCCCTCTGAGAAAAGCCCTGAAGCAAGAGAGCTAGGCAAGCCCTAGTCACCCAACAAGCATCCTGCCCTAACGTAGGTGCGACGGTTATTTACAGGGGTCCCTAACTCTGCACACCACGCGGCTGGGCACCCCCAAACTGTGCTGAAAGCCGGCAGGAGGGAGAGGCTGCGGCAGCCGGAACTTTTGGCAGCTCTAGGAGGAGCCTGGGCAGCCCGGCGGTGCTAGAACAATCCCCGCCCCCGTGCTAGGCTTGTCAATTGCTCCAGCGATTTCAGCAGCCCTACTGCTCTAGAAGTTCCCCGCCCACTAGCCCTGCTGGGGCCCGGGCAAAGCTGGGCACCGCTCAGGGCAAAAAGGGGGGGAGGGGAGAAAAACCTCCCCCCGAGCTGCCCCTTTAATTTAGACCCAGAATTGGGGGGTTCTGCAGCTTTGCCCCACATGCAAGGGGCGGTAAGAACTGCCAGCTCCAGGTGCCCCCACTCTCCTGGAGAGATTCCTACGGCTTGGCCTGGGAGGGGGGAGCCCCATAGTATCGCTCCCAGCTGGGCGGGTGGGGAGGGTTTTCCCCAATTACAAAGTTTCCTGGTGGGCTTCCCACCCAGACCTGGGGGTGGGGCACCATTCTCCCCTTCTCTAAGAACTCAGGGAGACCTCCCTGACCCACTCTCTTTCACATCTCCCTACCCCGGCAGCACCCACCAAAAGAACCCTCCCCTTTGGGTGAGAGTCATATAGTGTCTCCTCCCCACCTCCCACTAGCTTCAGGGGTCCCCCTTTGAACTCTTCACTCCCACAATCATCCCCTGTCTTCGGAGGACATCCCCGCCCAGGTTTCGGGGGGCATGGACATCCTGTTATGGAGTTATGGGGAACTGGGGCAAGGAGGGAGATGGGGAGGATGGGTTCCAGGGAGAAGTCCCTGTGGGAGGTACCAGGTTCAGTCCTGGGGGATCCCAAGGGGAGGCGGGATCTCTGCCCAGGAAGGGGGAACGACAGGCTCCCTCCTAAGGGGGAAGGTTTTGTGGGCGAGGGGAGGCCAGGCACTGAATGGGGGGAGATGGACCCTCATGGGGGGAACCCATCCTGCACGGATGGGGAGGAGGAAGGAAGGTCCCTGACCAGTGGGGGTGGGAAAAGGGCAGCAGTCTATGGACGGATGGTGCAGATCAGGCTCGGGGGGGGGGGGGGGTCTCCATGGGGAGATCTGGGATGGGGGGGGGGAGGTAAGAGAGGGGCAGGCTTGCTGGGGGAGGCAGGGCTCTATGGGAAGGGGAAAGCAGGTCTCAGTCACGGCATGGAGGAGGGGTCCCCGCGGTGGGTCTGTCCCTGTCCAGGGGGAGCAGGTCCCCATGAGGGAGGCAGGTCAGTCTGGGGGAACAGGTCTCCGTGGGAAGCAGAGTCCCCTCTCTCCTGTGGCGGCGGCGGCCTCGCTCCCCATCTCCCAGCAGGCGTCAGGTTTCCCTTCTCTCCCTGTGCTGGGGGTGTGTGTCTTCCTTCTCTCTGTGTGTGGGGGGGTGACAGATCTCCCTTCTCTCCCTGTGGCCTATCTAGGTGGGAGGCCCATGTGATGGGGGGG